CACACCTGTTGGGTTTTTTTTTCAAAACTGACGATTTTATTTTTTTTTAAATGAAGAAATACCAGAATCCAATGAACTCAATGAGAACACACAAAGTAAAGGTGGGTAAGCACAGCAGTAGTTAGCTGGAAATGGACTATGATCAACAAATGTGTAGAACCAACAACAGCCAGCACTGCACCCTTTCCTTTTGCTAGAAAGAATGTCTCCAGAAGCAAGATGTAATCAGTTTTGCATTTATCTCCCACATACATCCGATGAAAGTAAGCTAATACTTACAATTTGGAATCTGCAAAGGATCGAACTAAACACTGGTCCTTTTTCACTGTGACGTCATCATTACAGCTGGGAGACACAACCTGAAGTTTCAAATAAAACACTCTTTATAAGGAAAAAAAAAAAAGCAAAGCTGTTCTTGAAAGGAAAGAAAGATGGACAGCAGGAAAACTGCTGTCTTCCTGTTTCTTCTATCATAATTTCCAGTTCGGAGAAAAGAAACCTACTCCCATTTATATTACTGAGGCCAAGAAGGACAAATTTCAAGAAGCAGTTTACCTCAAGTTATTAACTTGTTAGGTACAAGCCAGAAAAATCTACAATTTCGTTTGTAAACTCAAAACTACCCTACAGGGTGACACCAGGGGCCCCTTTTTATTCACTCTGCCTTTTTTCTCTAGTTCACACAACACCCATTTAAAGCCACAGACCCACTTATTTTATACGAGCATCTGATCGTTGGCATTCAAAGCGAGAGGTAAGTAGATTGTTTAGGTTTGTGTTTCTTTCTGAGGTGCAGATAATACAAGCCAGCGTGGAATCCAGCGCATCCTTCCACAGCAGTATCATCTCTAAGTCTAAAAAGTTGATAAAAATGCAGTTGCAGTATTTGCATTCCCACAAAGAGACTAAGCTTGCGTTTTACATCGCAGAAAATGTTAAATGCAGATGAACTTCTGGATATGCCAGGACTTTGTGGAAGCTCTGCCACCCCATTTACACGAGTCAGAAGTTTTACCCCAAAAATCAAGATAAGGCATTACTGTTTCTCAGGCTGCAGAGAACAGAACAGGTACATGGCATCCAGGAACTTAATCCCCTAGTTAGAACTGTGTGAAATCAAAATCTGTTACTAGTAAGTGAGCAATCAGAACACGGACAGCAATACCACATTTCACATTTTAAACTGAGATACATACAGCTGGACAAGTCTGCGTCAACTATTCACCCTATGTTACACCATAATGTCCCTTCAAGAAAGAGAAGGCGGCTGGCCTGGGTACTTAGTTATCTTTTGATCCTGGATTCACGCAGGGAAATAAAATCTTAAACTCTGTTCCAAGATTGTAACAGCTGAGATCATTCCAGCCAACCCCGAAGACTCAAAGGACTACAGAAAATTGAGCTAAGTAAACAAAATCTACAAAAATTAGTGAATCAAACCTGCCTGCTAAATGTTCCAAATAATTATTTTTCTAAAGCAAACATATTTCTGATGGATGAAAAAAGATGTGTTTTGAGCTTGTCTAACAATACAAAAAAAGCTTACCAAAGAAAGCAACTTTTAATACACATTCATGAACTTTTCTGTGAATATGAAGAATTTCCAAAGTGTCTACCTTTACAGTACAAGTCTACTTGTACTTGACTTTATTTAATATATATTTATTATCAGCAATAGCATTGAACAGCTGTATCCTATACTGACAGTCAAATAAAAATAATAACCAACATCTTCTGCTAGACTAACTGGCCATTTATGCAAATGCAAGCATGAAAGGAACTAGTATTTCATAAAATTGAAAGTCTGAGGAGAAAGGCAATCATTAAATTAAAGATAAAAATTCCACTGCAATTGAATTTCATAAACCTAGTCGCTCTTAAATTGCCTAGGAGTGCAAGTCCTAACGTATCTTATTTTCAGAAGAAAAATACTGGTACATACCTATCGTTTTATGTGCAGTTCTGAAATACTTAAGAGTCATAAAGCTGTAACTTATACATAAACACTAATCTCTGCTCTCCTACTCTTCATAGGTACTGTAGAAAATTTGTATTTTTAACAAGTATTTTTAGCAGAGCTTCGCCTCACTACATTTGCAACTTTGCCACGAAGTGGTGAAGTTTGCAAACCATCATATCCAGGAAAACCTCTGTCCAAACAACATAATAGATCAGATGACACCCTTGTCTAAAAAGGTAAGAGCAGTACGACCCTAGAGATGTCGATGTCTTCAGCAACTTACCAAAGCTGGATACCAGTCTGCCTTCTCCGAATTACAAGTCACATTCACAACTTTGCCAAGCAATTCATCATTGAGACGCCTTTTGTCTTCGTCCTCTTCTTCACTACTTTCTTCCTCCTTTTCATCTTCAGTACTAAATTATTAAAACATACAGTCTCTTAAAGTTCTTGTCTGAAGTTAATATTTGAAAGCAAATACAGCTCACAACCAGATCTTTCTCCCTGTTCTGCAAAGCTTCAAAACCAAAATTAGAATTCTAAGAGCTGAAATTACTTGCAATACACTTAAATATTAAGTGCACGCACTTAGTAAGAGGAATTTTGTAAAAATTCTTTCCAAGCAGTAGTATTTTACAACGGCATCATGCTGGAACTGAAGGCATCAATTAGGATTTGTCTTTGTTTCTTGTCTGTGCACAATCAAACGATCTCTACCCCAGAAATTCAAAAGCACCTTTTTTTCCCTACTTTGTGCAGTATAAAGAAGGTTAAAAATCCTAATTTCCTGACACATGAGCTCCTATTATACGAAAGAAGCATAAACATTCCTAAAGTTACTACAAGCAAAAAAACTATCAATATCAGAACACTGCCAACATACGAACATGTCTGCATGAACTGAATTACGTACGCCCACGCACACGACTCACAAGACGGAGCATTCAGACCACTACAGCTTCCAGGGTACTACAGTTTTAGCACAGGCCACAACAAGAAAGGATAGCAACAGTGCACTATCAAAACTCACACAGGAAGAGAAGATCTTCTTCCTCTATTAGATTTCTTCCCAATAACTGGAGTTCCAAAGTGCTCTGGATTGGTTAGTGGCAGTTGATCAAGTGTCTACATGGAAAAACAGGAAACAAAGTTTGCAATTTCTTCTTCTTATGAAAAGAATAATAATAATTAAATACTTTGTTTTTATTGCATGTCCATCATTTTCCTACCTCACTTTCTGCGAAGTGCCTTTCTCCCTTCAAGCATAATGAAGTTCTCCTCAAGGTCCTTTCGTCACCATCATCAAAAACTAGTGCAAAGCCAAGAAAATACATTGGCACAAAATGATCAGATCTTTCCCAAGCTGACAAAATAAATTTACCCCTTATCTCCAAACCTAAAATATTCTCTAAAACATGACTTTCAAGATCTCCACTTAAGCATTTCTTTAGTTCACAAGGATAATGAAGGGTGATATTCAGATTCAGTCTATGGACTGATCCCATTTTCGCATAGAGATTGAAGCGAGGCTTTTGGATGCAAGTCTCGGTCAAATTCAGACATCCTTCTTGTCAATACATTGCACGTTTCAAACCATAGCTACTGGCTGCACACCACTTACTATTATCTATCAATCTTACCATTTTGTTTGAGGGGTTTTTTTTCCACTCTATTCATTTATTCTTTACTTACGCTATCTTTTAATCCTCACTCCTGCTACACACGACCCCACGACAAGTCAAATGAATGGAAAGAAAAACAAATGCGTGATAGTTTATGCTACACTATCAAAAGTGTGCTACCAATAAACTGGGAGTACTGGACACTTGCAACTGTAAGTCTAACCAATTTATAAAGAATACTTAGTAGACATCCTGTTCTCTTAAAACCCTGTGTATGTGAAAGGGAAGTTCCACCAATTCCCATTCATACAGAGCTGAAAAAATCTAGAATGCAATGAGGCTACTGCAGGCTTTGCCCGAGAAAGAGCTACTCTTTAGTCAGTTTAAATAAAACCTTCTCATGAAAATTTCCTTGCAGAGAAGGAAAGAGAACGCGTTCCGATCCCACTGTCTGAGCCGTGTGAACAAGCTCTTTTCAAAGAGCAGAGACCAGGTGGCTGCAGTCTGGCATTCCAGTAAGGTAAAAGTTTATTTGTATGGGGTCAAAGTGCAAAATACCACTCTGTATTTAAACTACTTGAAACATGCTTTGTCCAGTAGTGAACTTTAAAAAGTCTCAAGTGTTGTGCATATCAGTATTATAATTTTGGCATATTAAAAAAAAAAAAAAAAATCTCTTGAGCTATCATGAATATTAAATATATGTGTATCATTAGTGAAAACACAGAGTGGTTGCAGCAAGAAAAGCCCTTATTGGTCCAATAACTAAAAAGAACAGTCACATTCTCATAATCTTATATTAAAATCAATAATAACTATATAAAAAGGGTATGAATACAAATTTAATTAAGCAAGCTTACAATAAGCTTGAAGCTTCCTCCATCTTCAGAGCAGAGATACTGCTGTGGTATGCTCCACTACTGAATTATCTCAATGAGTTACGTTATAATCCTTATACACACAAAGCAACTAAGCTCTCCCACTCCAAAATCGTGGGGTTTAAAAACAGCAGATACCTATATGCCTAATTAATTACAGAAGTTAATATTATTTTTAAAACTTTCCAAAGTTCAATCTCATCACATGTTTACACTAACAAAAATAAAATAAATTCACAAGGTCCATTTGAAGTTTAAGGTCCATTATCTACTCCAAACACATCACTCATCAGTTTCTCTGAACAATCTGATAAATAACAATATTTCTTTGGCATATTTTTAGATTTTAGGATGGTTTGGCTGGTTTGAGGTATTTTCCTTTGCTTTTTAAATGTTCTGTGCACCCTAGAGTGTGTGCCATTTCTCATTGTTCTGAATAGACTTAAAAGCAAATTACCATCATTAGCCTTCAGGAGAGTCAAAGTACTCATTTTTCATAAACAGTCTTTTTAGGGAACAACTGGCTGGTGACTGGCAAGAGGTAATTTTATTGAAAAAAGCAAACAGAACCTGGTACTTGGCAGTATGCAAGTAAATAAATAAGATCAGTGTAGTTTATCTTCAATTTTGGAAGCTCTACCTATTTAATTAAAAACTAGTAGAGTAGAGAAAGAAATCAAGCAAAATTTCTATAAACCAGATGACGTACACAATTTTTCCACCCTCAAAAGATAACTCTCAGTATTTACAAGCTTTTAAGTAAAATACACTAGTAAAACACACTAAACTATTTAAATTTGGACAAGTAAGCAAATTATGACAATTAAGAACTGTGCGAGATATTCTGCTTTCCTCAACTACAAAAAACATGCAAGTTAAACTGGAATTTGGAAAGCCACTCACTAGATGTTCCCATCCAATAAGAGGCAATTCTAGACAGCAAAATGTAACTGCAATTGCAGAAGTATCAACTTTGTAAATTTGTATTTCACTTCCATGGACAAAACACTGCGGGGAAAAAAGTTAAAAAAAAAAAAAGAAAATGCTGAATAATTAAGTTTCCCTAATGATCCCTTAGACCCAGAGACAATAAAAGCGTGAGTGTGCTTTCAGAACTCGGCAGTCACGCTCTCAGTCCTACTCCCAGTTTCATACCTGAATCAAGACCAGTTTTACCCTGTGCCTCAAAAGCAGCTGTCTTCGTACAAGCCTTTTCCTGACATTTCTCTCTGTTTTCTCTAACTGAAAGAACAGAACTTTTAAGAAAAATCTACATCACCAAAGTATCATACATATTACTGCCACCCTACTCATGACCTTCTGAGGTTAGTCCTAGAGGCTTTAATAGACTGTCTTTTCAACATATAGTGTCATATATTAAGGATTTCATAAATGTAAGCAGTAGGGAAGAGAGCGTGTTTTTTGGCTATGGATACTTTGGTACTACGACAGCGGTCACGTCAGAAGAACTTAATACACTCTAAGCTGCAAATTCATTGCTCTTTGGAACTTCATCTGGAAGGATATTTAGCTAAATAGCCTAGTGCTAACAAACAGACAAACTAAAAACTGTTAAATTAATGGTGAATAGCTTGGATACATTAGCGAATCGTTCCTTCAATAGGTTATTGTTACAACTCCCAAGTTCTCTAACAGCAGAAATTCTAGAGGTTGTACTCCACAAGGAAGAATTTACTGAATGGTGTTGTGTTAAAGAAGGAAGGAAACAGAAGTGGAAGAGGGGGAGATCTCTCTCCACCCACATGTAACAGAGTCATTAAAAGACGTGCTTATGGTGCCACAGAATTTATCCTAGAAGGGGAACTTACAATCCTATCCTTCCAAAGAAACAAATAAAAAAAAGCAGAAACCCTGTTAGTACTACCATTGCCTAATCCTGTAGTGGGCATTTACTTGCTGGGGAAACCCCCTGTCCCAGCTGACTGTTCCAGTGAATACTTCTGGAAAGAGAAAGACACATAGTAGCCACAAACCTATACACTACTATTTAAGAGGCAATATAGCAAAGTAGGAATGACAGAGAGAAAAGCAACTTTTCTGCTGGCCAGAGGCTTTTCCTCCAAACATGTCTCTTAATGACGAACACTGACAGAAGGGGAAAAAAAGATGACTAAGCAGCACAACCTGGAGGAACAGTTTCTGTTATAATGCTTGTTCTAGTCCCGAGAACGGAGTTCAATATGCTCTGTATCGAGAATATTTAAGCAGTGAAATAAAATGGAAATTTTCAGAATTTCACTGCCTCCCAACTTTGTCCATAATAACAGGGAAGAAACAGAATTGATTTTTTTTCTGGTTGTGGAAGCCTAGGCAAGACAAAGCTACAACTGAAAAACAAAGCTTCCCAGAGGGAATCAATGCAACACTTCCCAAAAGTTAGAAAATATTCTCTCAATTAAGAGCACCTCAAAACTGCATTAAAGAGTTCAACTTTCAACTCACTACTGGTGAACAAGTATCTTCCGTTCTCTGTCTGTAGCAAGACATCAGCAAAAATAATACTAACCCTGTCCTCACAAAAATGCTGTCTCAACATCAGTTCTTATTTATTTATGTACAAAATATTAACAAGTTGACTAATCAAAATCATTTTTAGGAACTATGAAGCAACTTATCACAAAAGACTGCAGATCAGTTTAACTACTTCTTGTTTATAAATATCCCTATGATGTAAAAAAAAAAAAAAAAAGGAAAGAAAGGAGAACATAGCAGGACACAAGCGGTAACATCCACATAATAGGTACGGTATTACTTATACACAGCGCAGTCGATGTTACCAGAACAAGGCAGGTCTGTTACAGACAAGCAAACAGGGAAAACAACCCTGAAGGCTGCATCTGCTTCCTCACTTCAAACTCAAGTTGTGTTACTGTCACTGCCCAAAGGAGAGATTCTACACTGTGCAGCAAGTAGATGGGGGTTTTTTTAACTCATTCCCTATTCCATTCAGGAACTTCTATAGCTATCAAGACTATCAAGAAGTTTTGTGAACTATCAGAGATGCTATCCATGAATGTCTAGATGAATGCGTGTAAGTTTTGCGTATTTTTTTTTCAGCTGTGGAAACAATACAGGAAGTACCAACGTCACTCAATACTTGTTGAATGACCTTGTAGACAAGGACTGTACTAACTACTGATTCATCACTGTAAGAGGGCTTAAGAGTAGCGTATTGTGCTGCTAGAGAGACTACAGAAGTCAATTTAAAAGAAATAATGATTTCAAATGAGCTTCAGTTCCTCTACAAAAACCCGTAGGAAATCATCATAGAGAACATGCATGTACAACCTTTGAGTCTACTCATAGAAAACTACCACCTTATGAATAAAAACCTGCCCCAAACTGCTTTTTCTGAGGTGTTACAGTAATCTTACTATTGTTACATATAAAGAGATGGGGGGGAACCTACCTC